GGTTCAAGCCTTCACTAAAATATTGTAAAAAGCTCTATAAAGAACCAAATATCTGGACCTCACTAATTTCGAACCCTGAACACAGTGATTCAAGCTGGTTAAAACACACAAACTCCACCACACAGCACTGAGCTCAAAACACACAAATGTGACAGAAAATGTTTTAAAAAGCTTTCTATCATTAATTGATGTCCTTCAAATTGCAAATTGATAACATGAATATTATGGTACAGTTTTTTAGCGTTTTGAAATATTTTGATAAAATGTCTAAATGTTGGAGGAAACTTAGTACAGATATTTATCCAGTATTCATTTCCTTCATTCTTACAATGGAGAGTTTTCATACTGACACTTTGCATCGTCAGCTGATCCTCCAGTGAACTGAGAAGGTTTATAGTCCTGTGAGTTCAACACTGCAGGATCAGATCTGTCAGTCAACACAGCAGAAACCACAACCACCATGACTCTCTCACCATCTTCATCGTGACGCTGGCCTACTGCTGTTTTACAGGTGAGGATGATTTTAAATATGAAATTCCAAAGTAATCAAATCACTAAAAGCATACATTAACTAATTGCTGGATATAACAAACGTGAACAGTTTACATCTTAAAATGCGCCAATTAATGTTCAGTGTTTTTCCTCCTTCTTTCAGGATCAAGTAGTGAAGTGACTGTAACTCAACCTGCTGTAGTCACATCTTCTCCTGGATCTACAGTCACTCTGACCTGTAAACCAACCCAAAAGTTTATGTTTGGTCGGATGGAGATAGTCATCAAATCACTAAGAATTATGCAACACAACTCTCCTGTAAATGTAATGGAAAAGTATCATTAATTATCATTCAATGAAACTTTGTATCTACAGTAAATAATTTATCCCTGCAATGTTTGGCTTACTGCTACTTGCTACTACTACAACCTCCACTGTAGGACAGACTGCTACCATGGAATGGAATGGGAGAAATGAGGGACAGATGAAATAAAATGGTAAAATTCAGTGAAATGTGAATAACTGCACATGGTTGTCAGTAAGGAACAACAATGTTATGTTCCTTGCAAAGGAAAGTGACACAGAACTAGATAAAAACACAATACAATAATGTAAACAATCGTATAGTCTGTCACAATACATTCTGTGGTACATATGGTACAAGGTTGGTTAACCTAATGCAGTGAAACCTATAAATGTCACCAAGCACATATTTCATATTCACTTAAAAAGTGGGAAAAAATGGTGATCCTGTTACACATTTTAGGTAAACAAACTTTTATTCATGAAGCAGTGGAGAAGACATGTGGCATTTGAGACCTGGATTCGATTCCTATTTTGAATTCCCATTCCTGCTGCAACACATCCACCACTGTGTCCCTGAGCATGACACTTAACCTTTAGTTGCAGAGGAGTGTGACCTCTGACATATGTAGCAACTTCAAGTCGCTTTGGATAAAAAGCATCAGGTAAATGTATTTAAATTTTTGTTGAAAGAGAGTCAAACGATAAAATATAACTCAATATGTTCATCATCTGCTCTTACTGTAGTGCAGTATTAGTAGATGCTTTGCATTAATGTAAAATCTGAATTCTGTCCCAAAGATGTCACAATTCATCTTGTTAGTAAATAGCGGAACATTTATTTGAGAAAAACATTTAACATTGTGTTTTAAAACGTAAAAACGGACTACACTTTAGTATCCTGGCCATCAACAGTTGTTCGTATCTTGCTGCTGAGCTAATCACATTATTCCTGAAGATGTGGTTGTCCAACACTTTACAGCATAAAACAGCAGCTCCAACTGAGACACATTTGTTTTTGTTGTGTATGTGTTGTGTGTCCTGAACCTGGAAAGCACTTTAGTCAGCTAGGGTTGTTTTTAAATGTGCTATATAAATAAACTTGAACTTGACTGACTGAGATACTGGACGCCAAAAAGAAAAGATTTTTACTTCACATGAACCACTGGACTGGGTTGAGGATACTGCAGGATGTTTCGCCTCTCTTCAACCTAGTCCAGTTGCCCTTAATTTTAACCTTCCTTGGATAGCTATAACCTGGCTGACTGAGAACATTCACAGACATATGTTACTTAAAGTTTATACTTATGATGTTGATATGAAATGTGAAGGGAAACATCAGGTGGTTCATCACCAAAAACTCTGAGCAGGATCTGAACTCTGTGTGTGTTTTCACCAGTATGAGGAGGAAAATGTAAAAATAATGTAAAAATAAGGAAAATTCAAAATCGATCAAATGTTGTGTTGGTTTATCAGTCCAGTGTTGATGTAATTTGTCAACGGGAGATTATCTGTTAATGAGCCCAAAATCATCTGGGACAAGGCACAAGCAAGAGAAGAATGTTCACAGTGAAGAGAAACAATATAATCCACAAAATGTCAACATTTTCTAAATGTAGTTCTATGAATAAATGGCCGAATAATCCTCAAGATTAACTTCCCCTCTATGTCACCACTGCTTTCTGTTTCACAAGAACAGGTGTGTGTTTGCCTTCTTAAATATATTTTGCATGACTTTTATGCGTCACTGCTCCTCAGAGTTTAAGTTCTTCTGTCACAGAGAGTCTGAACTGTTTTCATGCACTCAAACTGAAAACTGCATCAGGATGATGTTGCCAATAACTCTGCTTGTAGTGTTGGGTTTTCTGAGTCAGGGTGAGAGAGCTTGAAAATGTGTCTGACATATTTTCATCTTTGGTCCAAAGACCAAGACTACACTTTGACCATCAGTGGTGTTCAGGCTGAAGATGTTGGAGATTACTACAGTCTGGGCCACCATGGTAGTGGAGTGTTCACACAGTGATTTAGAGCCGTACAAAAACCTCCTTCAGTTTGACTGTCCAGTGAAAACAATGCAAGAGTCATCAAGTAGAACAAAAAATTAATCCAAATATATCTGAAACAAACTCACATTAGCTCTTCCATTTTCAGTTTTAAAGGGATATTCTTGTTAGTTTATAAAGTCTCTTTCTGAGTGAGAACAATTTAAATGTCACAAAGTAAAAAAAAAACTAAAAATGATTTTTACTATCACGTATACTGTTAAAATCAGGAATGATGCTTAGATAATGTGTTGTAAAATAAATACAAGGACACTTACTAATTATAATACACAGTTTTATTTAATGATGGTTTAATATTCATGCCACATTTTTGATGAGTGAAAAGTTTCACTTGGAATGAAAATAACATTCAGTTTAATTTGAAAAGTTAAGGACACAAAGAAGAATATGCAGAAAATATTAGAAAGCAACATGCACACTAACACTGAGTAGAGAGCTTTGAAACTTGCAGACGTATGTGAACAGAGGAGATCTGTAGCTTCATCAACCCATCTGTATCAAAGAAGCAGCATCATTTCCAGACAGGAAGTGTTGCTGAAGCTCTACTCTGAGCAGCGGTCAGGGTCCAGAGTTTGAGTGACAGGGCTCTGGTCATTCAGACTGGCCTCACAGCTCACTGAGCCCGCCTTCCTCCACTGGTCTGCAGGGAGGCTCAGGGTGCTGCTCCAGCTGTAGTGGCCGTCCCTCCCCAGGACCTCCAGGCTGTGTGACACCCCTGAGGAGCTGCTGCTACCCCCCACCTTCCAGCCCAGCCTCCATGCTGAGGGGAAGCCCCCACTGGCCAGACACACCAGTGTGGCACTGCCCTGCTGCAGCTCCTCTGTGGAGGGGGGGAGGACAGTCAGGGTGGGCCGCACCACACCCACTGGAGGACAGAATGGGGGAGGAGAGAGAGGTGGGAGTAAGACAAAGGAATGAGAGTGAAGGCTTGGTAATGGAGAAAAATTACTTGCTGGTAATTTCCTATATTTTATCAAATGAAACAGAATAACTTGTGCAGCTGCTCATGTATCACTTAGTATCAGACTCATGTGAATACAGCTAAAACTTGTCATCTGTCTCTTTCACTTCCTGTTCACTACATGTAAAATTAATGAACCGTGAACACAAAGATAAGCTGCATTTACTGATAAAATCATATTTGTATTTACAGGAATCCAGTTTTTAAAATCAAAAAACATTTTGAATGCACGAAAAGAATAAACAAAAATTAAATTAAACTACTGATGTTATCTAAGAGCACTAAAAGTTTTACTTAACAGAATGTTCCTTTAGACATTTTAAAACAATTCAAAGTTACCAAATAAAAAATAGAAAATCATAAAACAAATGAGTTATTTTTTGTTTCTTGAAATTTTAATTAAATGCAATACTGAATGAATATTGAGTTTTGACTAAGAGATTAGCTTGATAAAATAATGATAACGATTAGCAACATAAAAACAATGAACATGATCATATTGTCATTCAATGTCAAATAAATGTCATATTTCCAATATGTAGTATGAAATAAAACTCTCTGGTACTTACAGTCAACGATGAGTTTGGTTCCTCCACCAAAAGTCCTCCACAGTGATACAAACTCATTAAGTGGCCGTACAAAAACCTCCTGCACTGTGAACAAGCATCTATACACTGAGAAAATGCTCTGCTTTTCTAATACACATAAAAAAATATATTTCATGGAATCTACAAAGTTTATACAACAATATGGATTAAATTTACTGTTTTAATGAAGTTTATTGATATTATTTTTCTTCGCATATCTACACCTGACAGAGATACATTTACAGTCTTTTTGCAACAATGTCATTTCCTCCCCAGTTTTAAATTACTTAATCCATGGTTTAATTAACATAATGCATTTAGATGATAATAAAGACAATTTCATGTTAAGCAGACTGGAAATATGTTATTTAACTACAGTAAACCCTGTCATTAATTAAAAGCAGACAAATAAACATATCATACCAACTACAGTGGACACAAACTTATCCTTAAATCCTCAGCTGCACTTCTAATATAATTTTGTTTTTCTGTTACATTAAGATCATACATGGTGTAAATCCAAGCAGTATTCCTCCTGATTTTGTGTCCCACGTTGCCTTCAGTCTGTTGAGAGCAGAGAAATCATTTCCATAGAGGGGAGGCTTTGCATCGTCAGCTGATCCTCCAGTGAACTGAGAAGGTTTATAGTTCTGTGAGTTCAACACTGCAGGACTCAGATCTGTCAGTCAACACAGCAGAAACCACAACCACCATGACTCTCATCACCATCTTCATCGGGACGCTGGCCTGCTGCTGTTTTACAGGTGAGGATGATTTTAAATATGAAATTCCAAAGTAATAAAATCACTATAAGCATACATTAACTAATTGCTGGATATAACAAACATGAACAGTTTACATCTTAAAATGCGCCAATTAATGTTCAGTGTTTTTCCTCCTTCTTTCAGGATCAAGTAGTGAAGTGACTGTAACTCAACCTGCTGTAGTCACATCTTCTCCTGGATCTACAGTCACTCTGACCTGTAAAACCAACCCAAAAGTTGATGTTTGGTCGGATGGAGATAGTAGAGTACACTGGTATCAGCAGAAATCTGGAGAAGCTCCCAAATTGGTCATTATTTTGGGTCAAAATGCTACAAGTGAGTTTTCTTCTCGATTCTCTGGCAGAGGAGATGGAGTGAACGCTGAGATGACCATCAGTGGAGTTCAGTCTAAAGATGCAGCAGATTATTATTGTAAAGGTGTTCACAAAATAAACAACGCTTGGGTGTTCACACTGTGATTTGTAGTCGTACAAAAACCTCCCTCAGTCAGACTGCAGAGACTCTGAGCTGTTACAGCAGGAACCGACTGCAGCTGCTGAAGAGGAAGAGACACTCTGACACAGACCACTGAACACAGAGCTGACAGTAACTTCACCAAGCACAAACTACACATTCACACTAGTAAACTAATTTAAACATTTTAAAAAATCTAATGACACCACATCATGTTCTGTTCACTTCTACTGTCCACCAAAGAGAAATATTTTGTCTGATCACAGGTTTGATTAATAGTTTTATCTCACTAAAAATCAAGTTCACATTATGGTCCAAGCTTTTTGTCATGATAAAACATGTATTCTTTTCTTTTCTTTTCTTTTCTACTACATATTATTCATTACCCATTTTTAAAGAAGAGACATTAATATTTATATGATGAATCCAAAGCTTGTAATTTTCCACACAGACGAGGATCAGTTGAAGTAATGAAATAAATGTAATCCTTCCTACTGTTCTTGATACAAAAGACTAAACACTTCATAAAGTTATTTATCAGTGCAAGCTTTATTAGCAAAAACATCAATCATCAACATGACAGTTATTAAGCACGCTCACATCTAGCTGCTGAGCTCCACACATTACTCTCTAAGTTGTTGTTGTCCAACACTTTACAGCAGTGTTGTTCTCTGTTACACAAAGCTTTAGTTTCCTCTACAAACATTAAAAGTCATATTGATCAGAGCAGCAGGTGTGTTCCTCCTGCTCCCCACACACAGAGCTCCTGTCCTGAGCTTCAGCCCGCCCCTCTAACCCTTACACTGGCTCCTGTGGAGGGACTGTGTCTGGCTGTGGTCATGATGGAGGACCCTGCAGGAGTACAGCTCTCCTCCCATCCAGGCTCAGGGTGCTGCTGCTGCTGTAGCGTCCGCTCTTCTCCTCCTCTGAGCTGGTCAGGACCCCCTCTGTCACCTCTGTACCGTCCACCTCCCAGCTCACCACGGCTCCCTGAGGAGAGTAGCCAGTCAGCAGGCAGGCCAGCGTGGCCGAGCCCCCAGAGAGCTGCTCAGAGCAGGGGGGAAGCAGAGAGACTGAGGGCCTGACCATGGTGCCAGCTGGAAGGGAGAGCAGAGACACACAAGGAGCAGATCAACTTCCACTGTAGGAATGACAGCTGAACATGAGACACTTATGATACAGGGCAGAGGTTAACACTACTGTGGATCAGCTGTGTGCATGATGCTGTGATCAGGCAGAGGAGAGGAGGTGAGGAATGGAGGACATGAGGGTTAAATAAATAAAAACATAAAAAACTTTTTATTTTTATAGATTTAATTTAAACTAAAGAATCCTCATGGCACTCATAATACATCGCCAAGAATTATGCAGCACAACTCTCCTGTAAAAGTAATGGAAAAGTATCATTAATTATCATTCAATGAAATTTTTATATCTGCCTAACAATATGTTACAGCAACTAATTTATCCCTGCAATGTTTTACTTATTAAAAATGTAATGTCTCTTACAGATAAAGACTTTATCATCTGTCTGTTTCACTTCCTTTTCACCACTTTAAACTAACGAACTGTGAACGCAGACTGCAGCTATACTGGATGTTCAAAAAAACTCACTTATTAGTTTTGAAGTCATTTTAGATTTAATTTTAAACACTGTTAATAATTAGAAAAAATAAGAATATTTATTTTTTTCAGCATTAAAATGTTCCTCAGACAAATTTTTTGTTGAGCACAAATATTCAACTGAAAATTTAACACAAGAAAATTTAATTTCTTTCAGCATACATTTTAGCATAACATTGTCTTTAATGCTAAAACAATAATAATATCTGCACAAGGATCATTCCAAAGTGCAATATCAGCCATCTCCTTGGTAAATAACAAAAAATATCCACAACATATAAGGTGCCCAGAAGAAATTCTTGTTTAATCACGTTATACTGCAAAATGTATTGTTATATTTTATGTTGTAGAAATTAAACATTCTCTGGTACTTACAGTGAATTATGAGTTTGGTTCCTCCACCAAAAGTCCACCACAGTGATACAAGTTATACTTTATTGAATCTACAAAGCTTTCTAAATGACATGGATTGAACTGATTATTTCATCACTTTTCTACACCTGAGGGAGAAACGATTACAGTCTGCTTGTAAAAAGTAATTTTTTCACAGGTTTATGTGAGTTGTTACATAGTTAAATGTACATCATACTTTTAAATAATAACAATTTACAAATTCACGTTTAGTAGAACTTAAATATGTTATTTATCTACAGTAAACCCTGTGCATATATTAAAGACAGACAAACAGACGTATCATACCAACCACAGTGGACACAAACTCATCTTGTCTTAAATCCTCAACTGCACTTCTAATAATATTACTTCTGTTCCAAGACCATAGATGGTGTAAATCCAAGCAGTATTTCTCCTGATTCCCATGTTGCCTTCAGTCTGTTGAGAGCAGAGAAATCATTTCCATAGAGAGGAGGCTTTGCATCGTCAGCTGATCCTCCAGTGAACTGAGAAGATTTATAGTCCTGTGAGTTCAACACTGCAGGACTCAGATCTGTCAGTCAACACAGCAGAAACCACAACCACCATGACTCTCATCACCATCCTCATCTGGACGCTGGCCTGCTGCTGTTTTACAGGTTCATTCACTCAGCAACATTTCAGACATGATGTGCTGCCTTTTCTCTCATTTCTTTCTGCTGATAAATGAATGATTTGTTTTTGTGTGCAGGATGCAGCGGTCAGGTGACAGTGACTCAGCCTCCAGTAGTGACATCTACTCCAGGATCCACTGTCACTCTCACCTGTAAAATTAGCCAACCTGTTTACATATGTAACAATGTTGGTTTATGTATATTCTGGTATCAACAGAAATCTGGACAGCCTCCAAAGCTCTTGATAAGACATGTCAGCATAAGGCACTCAGGAACACCAGCTCGGTTTAGTGGCAGTGGAAGCAGCTCTGACTTCACTTTGACCATCAGTGGAGTTCAGGCTGAAGATGCAGCAGTTTATTACTGTCAGAGTTACCATAGTGGCCCAGTGTTCACACAGTGATTTGGAGTCGTACAAAAACCTCCCTCAGTCAGACTGCAGAGACACTGAGCTGTTACAGCAGGAACCGACTGCAGCTGCTGAAGAGGAAGAGACTCTGACGCAGACCACTGAACTCAGAGCTGACAGTAACCTCACCAAGCACAAACTACAGATATATACAGGAATATTTATTATTAGTTTTTTTCCAGGTCAGAAAAAACATTTTTCATGATAACCAACATCCAATGATATTTACTTTCCATAAACAGAAACATCAGAAGAACTCGCTATAAACCTATAAACATGAAACCCAACTTTTTCTGTCATTTAAAAAATATATTAGTTTTTCGAAAATACTCTTATTCACTATCTTGCTGACCAATGCCACTTTCACATCTGTAATATGATAAGCAAATTATATTCACACTCATGAATAAATTTGTGTCAAGATCTTTGCCCCACTAAAAATTAAGTATTAAACTTATATTCTTGTCAGCTCATTAAATCTCTTAACAAGCAAGCTGTGAAAGTTAAACTCTGTTTGGAGAATAGAAACTGAAATAAATTATGTTAAAGTGTCTCTACTGATAGCTGCACAAAATAATTTAATACAACAGTCTAAACAAAAACAAAACATTCTAATTGATAACTCTTTATTTTAAACATCCAAATAATTTCATTCTCCAAATGTGTTTTTTTTTTTTATTAAAATGTCAGAAATTAATGAAATACAACAATCTCCTGAACTAAAATATTATAAAAGAAATAAAAAGACACTTACTCATTATAATCCACATTTTTATTTAATGATGGTTCATGCCACAGTTTTGATGAATTAATAATTTCTCTTGGAGTGGAACTGATAATATTCGGGTTTCATTTGAAAAGTAATGAACATAAAGAAGAATATGCAGAAGATCATGCACACTAATACACTGAGTAGAGAACTGTGAATCTTGCAGAAATATGTGAGGAAATCTGTACATTCATCAAGATCTGTATCAAAGAAGCAGCATTTCCAGACAGGAAGTGTTGCTGAAGCTCTACTCTGAGCAGTGGTCAGGGTCCAGGGTTTGAGTGACCACTGGTCTGCAAGGAGGCTCAGGGTGCTGCTCCAGCTGTAGCTGCCGTCCCTCCCCAGGACCACCAGGCTGTGTGACACCCCTGAGGAGCTGCTGCTGCCCCCCACCTTCCAGCCCAGCCTCCAGGCTGAGGGGAAGCCCCCGCTGGCCAGACACAGGAGCGCAGCTCCTCTGTGGAGGGTGGGGAGGACGGTCAGGGTGGGGCACACCACACCCACTGGAGGAGAGAATGGGGGAGGAGAGGGGGAGAAAGACAAAGGAATGAGAGTGAAGGCTTGGTAATACAGAAAATTGACATGCTGGTAATTTCTTATATTTTATCAAATAAAACAGAACAACTTGTGCTGCTGTTCAAAAATCACTCAGTATCAGACCATCAGACACACGATTCAAGTGTAAATGCAACTAAAAAGGTTAACAGATAATGATTAATGATGACATCTTCATATGTGTTTCATAATGTGTGACAGTGAATAACTCATCCCTGTGATGATTTTCTTCTGTTTAAACTGACAGAGCTGAAACACTCATGTGAATATACTTTGCACTTTGTAACTTGTTTTTGAAAAGTGCTCTATAAACAAAGATTATTATTATTATTATTAATACAGTTAAAACATTGTCATCTGTCTCTTTCACTTCATTTTCACTACAGATAAGCTGCATTTACTGATAAAATCATATTTGTGTTCAACAGGCATCCACTTTAGACTTACGGTAAAATTGAAAAAATAGTTTGAATGTTCACAATCAATTAAAAAAAATACTCCTGATATTATTTTTATGTATTGAAAGTTTTACTTGACAAACTGTTACTTTAAACATTTTAGAACAATTAAATGTTTCAATAAAAATAGAAAACATAAAATGAATGAGTTAGTGTTTGTTTCTTTAAATTTAATTAATAAATGAAATTATATACAATGAATGGTATAAAGTTTTGTCTCAGAGTGTGAGCTCAGCCTGGATTATGAAAATACCAAAATTATCAACAATATCCAAACACTGAACTTGATCAGAGTCTGCGTGAATATTACATTAAAGTCACATTTGCATTATGTTGTATAAAATTAAAATCTCTAGTACTTACAGTCAACGATGAGTTTGGTTCCTCCACCAAATGTGTACCACAGTGATACAAACTCATTAAGTGGCCGTCCAAAAGTATCTATACACTGAAAAAACCTCACCAAGCACTAACTACAGATTCAAATTATCACTGCTATAACAACTACACCATACTTTTTGGTTATAAACTTTGTAGCACAATATTAGACTTTGGGCATTAAAGCACACCATGCTGCATATGTTGTATCCATCTGATGAAATAGTGTAGGTTTGAGTGGAACATAAATACATTTACTCACGATGTGTAGGCTACTTCAGTACAATTTTCAGGCACTTTGAGTTCTCTAACACTTTTAAAATGTACTCCACCACATTTCATTGGGAAATTTAGTTTTTACTGTACTGCTGTCAAGGATGGGTTTTCCAGGGCAATGAGGATTGGACCCAAATGCAGGTAAAATGGACAAATTGGTAAAGTTCAAGGACATATTGCAGCAAAAATTATCTTACAGGCAAGTCTTAGTACTAGTGTTATTTTGGTCGTGAACAATTCATTCATTTTCAACTAATCTTTTATATGACTTGTGAGTAATAAGTAGTCTCAGTAAGTGATTCGTTCATTTTCACGCATGCGTGAATGGTCTTGGACTCTTATGTTCAGTTGTCACATGGCAGCTGTATTGGTTCAGTCAGTACAGGAAACAGAAATGATTAGTTCGAACTCCTAACTTCTTTGGGTTTGAATTGCTTAATTGTCATTGGGACAGCCAACAATAAAGAGTCAAAATGAACATGAATCTAAAAAAAAAATTTGTTCAATTTACTGAGCAAGATTCAAAGATCCGAGTGAATAAAAAGACTCGGCGTTCCCATCACTAGTTGGTTGGTAGGCAGGCAGCCAGGCAGGCAGGCAAACAACTGAGGCAGACATTGGTCTAGGTAATGGAAATGCAAAATTCAGCTATCAACTAGTAACATGGCAAACAGGACACAGTGAAAACAAACAAATACGTAAGTGCAGGGTTGATGAGGGAAATGAGTAGTTCTGTGTGGTATCAGATGAAAGGGAAAGGAGGAAATGTCTGAGGGAATCTGGTGGAGAGCTAGGGGATGGCAGGCGTGGGGAACCAGAGAACGGGACAGAGAGCAATCTGGAGGTTTATACACTAAACAGTGTGGTAGAAGAGAGGGACTGAAAAGCAAACAGTCACAACTACATTTGTTTTACAGCTTGTTACCTGACAGATTAAGACATTAAACAATATAATCTGTTTATAAAGTGAATACATTATTATACAGTAGATAAAGTGGCTAAAATAGCGCCTCCTAGAAGTTAATTAATCAGTAACAACAATGATTTAACGTTGTAAATAATGATAACACAGAGGGGTCCTTCGGCTTTTGTTGATAGTCTACACTTTTACTTGAGTTATGTTTTAAATGCAGGACTTCTACTTGTAAAGGAGTATTGTTACATTGTGGTATCGCTTCCCTTAAGTAACAGAATAGGCCTTTTCTCCCACCACTGATCATGAACCGCCTGGTCCCAGATCTGGATAGGATTGTTCATGTCTCCTTTTGCAGTTATTTCGATTAAATCCGCTAGAGAGTAGCATTGATCAGATGTAGAACTGCAAAAATGCATTTGTGGTGTCATTATCGTCTCAAACACATTATGTTGACAAATGAATGTTACAGTATTTATAAGTTTTATTTGAATAAAAAAAATTGGCTGCACATCAAGCAAAGGATGTCAGATCTTGTGCAGGATCTTCTAAAACTATAAACCACAGTGCTGATTCCACCAACCCTCTATGTTTCCGCGTTCTTTGGGGAAGTTGGTCTTTGTCCATCGCGGAAGAGAAGTTGCACTTGTTTACAGCGCTATAGCCATCCTCGTGCCTGTAAGTTATCCTAATTTCATCAAACACATTGCATTTTCTTCACATTAAAGCTTCATTGTTCAGTTATGATTGAGCCATATTCGCAATAGCGCGTTCAGATTTGCGTCCATTACTGCGCGCTCCTTCCCCGCAGCTCTTAAAGTCCCGAAAATGAGTGATCGGAGGAGAAACGCTTTAAAAACAGCACTCCAGTTGACGTGTCAACTTCTGTGGGTATGTAAGACCTTATCACTGTTGCCGTATTTGCAGCATCTTGTATTGTTTTTTTATTCTGTCACTTAGGATTATTATGTTACCATAAAAAACAATCTTGATAGACTATTTATCTTTGGCCTAGGCCTACTTCTGTTTAAAATCATATAAAAAGAGCTACAAGTAGTAAAATATACATCGTTTGTGAATTAAATGCCCAATATAATATGCAGGTATTTGATTTTTTCACATGTGACATGTCATGTGACACTAGAGTGCAAGTGTGCACGTGTTGCTTAGAGAAAGGAACTAACAAAATGGATTGGCTGTCTTTCCATAAAATTTATAACCATAATAAAAAAAAAATGGTGCATTTCATATCATTTAATTTTATTTTTGGCAGTCATGTAACTCAGTTCTATTGTAACAAGACATGTTCTGTTTAATGATAAATACAAAAAAAACGTATTTCCTAAATGGTTGAACAAATCCTTTATCCCTTTAAAAAGAGTTAAGGAATGTCAGAAAGGGGCTGGTGACTGGTCCTGGAGCTTATGAGTGTTGCCATGCAGCAATTACAGACACAATGCTCACACTGTCTGTTGTGTAATATTGAATCTTATTATTATTATTATTGTTTTATCTAACAGGTTTTGGGGTTGGTGGTGGGCTTGAGTGGAGTCTACCTGCTGATAAAATACAAACAAAACAGCTTATTTTTTTCTCACACCTACATCACTCTGCCAGCTGGCCTAGCTCTTTGCAGCGCTGTGTTCCTGGTGACCAGTGGGTGCTTCGGCACGTGGCTGAACCTCAGAGATTCCACCTTTAAGCAGGGACTGGTAAGGTTGTTTGTGTGAATGTGGGTATCTGTATGTAAGTCAGCCTTTAGAATGATAATAATAAAGTGTTTTCTTCTTCAGTTTGTTTATCTGCTAGTTTTGGTCTTTTGTCTGGAAAGTACAGCTACTGCCTTGGCTTATTTTCACTCTACAAAGGTATGTTATTTGAACAAAAATTAATGTGCACTGGAAAGTTTTGTTTTCATGACACTTTAGACTATTCGGAGGGGTGGTCCCATTTATATTCTTTGTGTGTACTTCCTTTTGTTTAGCTGGATTTAGACATAGCTCCCCTCAGAGGGGTGTTTCAGAAATACACAGGCAGCAGCCAGGACCCCAACTCTCGAGCTGTGGATATCACACAAGAAAAGGTGTGTGTTCAGTCATAACCCAACTGGTTCATCCACAGACCCTGTGCAGGTCTGTATCTGGTGTGTAAAATGCCTAATTAGAATGCCAATATACCCAACACAAACACTTACTTAAGCAAAACACACAATTAGCAGGGACATGAAAACAAGCAGCAGAAACTAAGTGTTGGTATATAAGTGCCTTGGGCATCACTTCCTCTAATGGTCGCCAGATTCTGTCTTGAAAATGAAAATTTTACATGGCAATTTGGAAATGTATTTTTCCTTAAAATGACATTGAAGCTTAAAGAGGGCTATGTCGGGGAGGTAATTGTCTTGATTGAAAGGTATCAGCTGTGATAGTTGGCCCTGATTTGCTCCACCTCACCTCAACCCAAACCAAACCTCACCAGGCCTCACATAATCCATTCATCAACTTATGGTGCCATCACAGATGTCTTGTCCTGCCTACAATAACTCTCACATTAACTGAAGATGTATTTTTGAAGATTTTTTTCTGATTGATATTATTAGAATATTTTCTGTTTTGGTCCCTGTTAGTTGCAGTGTTGTGGTGTCCATGACTACAGAGACTGGCTGGAAACCTCCTGGTTTAACCAAACAGGAGGACTCTTGGTTCCTCGCAGCTGCTGCAACTCTACTTTCCCCTCCTGCAATGGCACTGTGGACCAGCCATGGCAGCTTTATGAAAAGGTAGACATCTAGATACTGATTTAACGCCTATAAACATTAGCTCCAGTATGAATGTTCAATAGAACCCTTCTGTTTCTCTGTCTAGCTTTTCAAATGTCTTTCTTTTTCAGGGCTGCCATGTGAAGCTGGAGATGGCCTTACAGTTTGTGCTGAGTTTCATCATCTGGGGCTCCCTGCTGGTTTTTGTGGTGGAGGTGTGAAAAACTTAATAACATTTTTGGACTATTTGTGTACACTTAATACAAAATGTATCGTGACAGAAAAATAAAACACAGATAGAAAGGATATTTTGCTACTTTAGATTGGTGGTTCCTTAAAGGTTCATTTCCTGATCTTTTAATTTCTTATAAAATTATTTTGTCCAAGATCTATACACAACATTGACATATTATCACCTTGACACCTTAAAAAGTTGTTGTGGCGAATGTGGTGAACAATAGCATTCATTTGTTGTGTTTCTGATCACCCACTGAATTTAAGTCCAATCTTCACTCTGCTTTTAGCTCTGTTTTTGTCTCCACCAACTCCAGGTGGAAATATCTGGCTCTTTAGCTGCTAAATGCTCCACTGTTTCTGCCAGTTAGCATACTATGGCTGTCAGTAATGATTATTTTCATTATTGAATAATCTGAATATTATCTCTTTGTATCATTTGCTGGTCATCAGAATTGTGAAAACATTTTGATTAATTGACAATAGTAATTATTCCAATCTGGACATTAATTATTGAGCATTATTTATTTTGGCAGTTAACCAGAAACCTCCTCTCCTTTCTTTCCTTTTATAATGCAGGTTGTTTTATTTCTGACGGTGGCACAGCTGATGAAGGACCAACCATATATAGAATACCAAGTACTGGGCATAAACTGAAGACAGATAAGACAGATGGGACAGCATTGCAATTATGTATGTAGTATGTGGTATTATGTTGTGTAAATATTCATCCATCCATCCATCGTCAACCGCTTATCCTGCGTACAGGGTCGCGGGCGGGCTGGAGCCAATCCCAGCTGACATCGGGCGCAAGGCGGGGTACACCCTGGACAGGTCGCCAGTTGTTGTGTAAATATGCAAATTATTATTGGAATGATTGTTCCTGAACTGCAGACATTCTCACTACTGCTGATTAATCTTCTAATACACTAAAAAACAAGGATACATAAAAGTGGTGAAAGATCCTTTGTGTAATGCAGTTGTAATGTTAATTATTGGTATTTTTACACCAAAAAGATGACAATAGTTCATGTCTGGGTATGTAAGCTTACATTGTGTTGTCCTTTATGTTATTGTTTTATACAGAGCACATTTTACTGTCTCTAGTTGTATTTTTTTGTTCTATGTATCTGAAATTATAAACACAACAGAGAGTTCATTTCTGAAGGGACAATAAACTAAAATAAAACTAAACCCCATTTGCATGCACTGTGCACTTTATTACATTTGAATGGCGTGTTTATTGATCTGAATACTTGTTCCTGGTATTTCCCACATTTTTTGTCTTGTTCTGTATATCCTGCACTCAATTGTCCCTAGGTAGATCTCTGCAAGTATTCCAAGGTACCAAATATGTACATGGTTGCATATCAACCTGAAAATTTGAAAAAGACACTAAGTATCAAGGAGATTAAATAATGTTAAGTATGTTTTTTTGGGCAAACAGGACATCAGGGCTATGACCAATGCAATATTTATATTGCAGCAAACCAGTCCACTGTGAGCGTGGAACATCCTGAGCTGCAGACACTGTATCCATGAATAGAAGACCAAAAGCATTTTGCTACAGGAAATGTAAAGTAGTTCAAAGAATGTGCGTGTTACTGCATGGTTCCAATTAATCAGTCTTAATTTCTCCAGTAACTAGAACAAACATTTTCTCCATGAGATTACAATTTCCTTCCTTACAAATTGAAAAGGATCTGTGCAAAATACTAGCATATTCTTTAACATGAATTGGCACCCTAAACGTTTGAAGGACAACAGAAAAACACCGTTTAGCTGGATTTCAGTAGTGGATGTTGACCATTGGAAGATGACCACGCGGTCTCCTCTGCAGAGGCGTGGCTGGACGCGAGTGGGCGTGGTGGGATTCGTCACGTAGCTCCTTCATCGGCTTCTTCGCTACGTGTGGCCGACTTGGAGGGAAGGGATTGTCACCAAGAAAGGGAAAAACAGGAGAAAAGAGCAGAAACAATAAACTACCCCTAAAAGCTGGTAAGATTTAACACAATGACGCGTGTCCCCTGAAGACTCAGGTTTATAACGTTACTTCGATATTCGATGTTAGCAGGCTTGTCAGATGCGAACGACTGCCATGCTTTTCTCGCGGCCCTTGGAGTCGTTACTTAGCTGGCGGTGGCTAAAGTTAGCCTCCGTGGCCTGTTAGCAGGCCGCTGGGGTTTAAGCGCGGGGACAGACATGCATTGATCCGACGCTCTCCAAAATAGGGGCACGGTGCTCTACGTTCGCTAGCCGGAAAGAGACCGCCACGTAATATATCCCCTTTGCATGATGCGAGTGGTTGTGTTGACTGTATGTTAAGTTCAGAGTAGTAACATTGTGCCTTGTTTTTGTCGAAGCTGGTTGGACGTAGGTTTACTCTTCTAACCAGAGATGAGAGTGGACATGCAGCTGGCTAACGTTAGCCTGCTAGTGAGGCTAACTTAGTCAGGCCTCCGCACTTAGAGCAAGAGATCACCTCGTGAATTGATGAGCTCTTCACCCTGACAAAAACACAAGTGCGCCATTAAAACTGAGATTGTGGTTGCATTACACGGTGTTTGGTTATTTCTGTAGTAATTCCTGTTTGTAGAACTACAAAACATTGGAGAAATGTCAGTGGATTTTTTTGACAGCTTCAGCTGCTGTCTCAGCATTAGCTAACTTACTAATGAAATTCAAGTGCAAGAGCAAGGTTGTTCATCCAGAGAAAGCTGGTCAAATCGTCATGAAACCGCCTTATGTTTGCACGACATTTCGTAGTACATTCATTCAAATACTGCACAGGCAAATTTAGACCCAACCCTCCTGCCACAACAGTTTCACTTTGACGCTCCCCTTTCCTCTGGATACTATACAAAATACTAGCACAGAGTAGTAGAGTAGTTTTCCACTAGGGGTACTGGTGCTCATTCATTAAAAACCTATGAGTTACCACTGAATTAATACAAATTGATCACTTAAAAACAGTCCCTTATATCGTTGTGTGAGAGATATTCCTACAGTTGTGCATCAGTCATCTGCACTGAACCTGGTGATACTTAAACATAAATTAAAGAGTGATTCAACAAGAAGAGCCTTTTTAAAACTATATCCTTTCAAGTGTATTATTTTCTTAATGTCAAGTTTACTTGTTTGCTCACTGTCATATTGATTGAGTTGTTTTGATTTTGTCTTATCCCGCCCAGCCTCAGGAGCAGTGAAGTGTCTTCATGGCAGTTCGTCGAGGACACATTAAGTACTTGAAAGTAAGTATGATCTCGGCTCCCGTTTCAAACAACTTCACAGCCTTTGAGCTTATCTGAATGTTAGATCAGATATTTTTGGTGACTGGGTGGTTGATTGAATGCTTAATTCTCGTTAGGCATATGGTAGCAATCACATTTGTGGCTATGTTAAGTAATCTGGCTGCAGGAAATGTACAGACTCACTATAAAGTTTCACTTCATGTTGACACATTTGTGGAAAAGATGGCATGACTCTACACGTGATTTAATATTCTTTAAATGTGAGATTAGCATTAAGAGAAATCAAAAACCGCAAGCATGCTAGCTCCACAGGCTATGCCCATGTTTACTGGTTAATACAGGACTCTCATTCATCCTCTCAGGTGTGTATGTTACCCACCAGAATACACAATCACAACCCTTCTCTTGTATGAATGGATCTCTGTCAGGTTGACCGCTGGACTGGTTCCCCTTTCAGGCCCGCTCCCGTTTCAGCCACAAGCAAATGTGCCCACCAGGACGCGTTCTGCTGAACAGATAGCAGGAGCAACTTTTACCGAAGCATTTAGAAGTTGGGCTCCATTTGTTATGGGAACTTTAAATTGTTAATTCAATTAGTCTTGGACCCTGTCAGACTAAATTGCAGATGGATATGTGGCTGAGGTAATCTGGGGTTAAAAGTTATCTACTTGGCAAAGTAAAACGTGTGTGAGGGCTTTTTTATTCCATTCCATGTTTAAACTTCAAGTTGGATTACTGTAAACTACTAGATTGAGACCAATTTGCAGCTATAATCCAATCACATGCTTGTGTAATATAAGTCGTTACCATTATGTGGCCTTGAACCTTGGGACGTTTGAGTTGGATGTACAGAATAAATTAAAATGAGACACGCAGAGGTGGAGAACGAGACCCAAAGCTGGCATTCTGCAGAGTGTTTGGTGTTATTTATTTCAGCTTTAGAAGTAACCGCCATGAAACAGCATGTTTAATTTCTCTTGTTCACACGCTTTGTTTCTCTCATCACAGCTCCAGCGCTCGCTTCTCATTCACTCGTGTTCATAGTATGTTCACACAATTCATCATTTTTTTAAACGAGAAGACAAGGCATAACTTTGTTTTTAACATTAATGAACAACGAGAAATGTCTGCTCCTCATCCTGATATCTTCAGTACTACAGTACTTTCTTTTTTATGAATGAAGCAGTTGTCAACCATATGAGTTAAAGCAGATGCTGTGTCTGTGTTTCACCGGTCAACAACAGTCATCCCTGCAAACTCCGCCGCCTTGGTTCCTAATCCTTTGGAAATTACTACCCGTGGAGAAGGGAACTTTTCATGCTTTTTAACTAAATTTAGTCCCTGGTTCCTCCGGTTCACTGATAATTCGATGTGCTTTTTGTGGAATTGCTTAATGCTTGAGAGAGAAACCAAAACAGACTTCTTCTTCTTTTTTTTTTTTTAAAGAGTAGAGGTTTGTTTCTTGTGTTACCTGCTGTATGCTCTCGTTTGTGTGTACTGTATCGGGTCAGTGATGTAATGGGGTTGTTTGAGAAAGCAGGGTAGAGGTGAGGCCAGTGAAGCTCGAAGAGTATAAATTATAGGAAGTCTATGGACATGACAATTTTACTCTATTTTTAATTGTGGCTGGCCACTGAAAAGATGACTACACTTTAATTTGAAAGTAATGTGTTTCAATTGACTTCCTTTAGTGCCTGATCTTTTTTTTTATTCCATCTAGGTTTAGAGTTGACAGCCTCTAGAAATGTTAGTGTTTTTAGAGAGAGCTCAGTCTGTTGTGCATTAAAATATTTTAAGACCTGTGTCGGGCTGCAACTAGTTTAATTTAATTATATCAAATGTTTGAAAATAGTGAAAAATGCCTATTATAGATCCCAGAGCCAAAGGTGACACATTCAAATAGCTTGTTTATTTCCA